GCCGGAAGCCACGCCGCCGCGACTGAGCATGCGCCGAGCGCCGGGGTCGCGTCGGCGTCGAGCAACGGGCCCGGCGATTGGCCCTGATGATAGGCGCGCGGAGATGACGTCACGGAGGGCTTCTGCGCAGCTTCAGTTTGTGGTTTGAAACACTAATGGTTGCCCCCTTTGCGAAGGCATGCTGAATATTTATTTTTTAATTTTTAATAAAAGTGTGAGTTGAGCTGGGCAGTAGTGGCGCAGACCGTTAATCCCAGCACTCGGGAGGTAGCGGCAGGGGGAATCTCTGTGAGTTAGAGGTCTACAGAGCGAGTTCCAGGACAGTCAAGGCTGTTACTCAGAGAAACCCTGCGCCGAAAAAACAAAATAAATTAAAAGCGTAGATTGTTTTCAATAAGGGCCATCACGTTGCATCAGTCACACTGTAGAGAAGTAAGGTTTTTGTTCGTTTGCCATGTGATAAAAAGGGAAAAGCTAAGGAATACCTACCGTTGAAACGGACAAACTGGTGGTGGTGGTGGGGTGTGTGTGTGTGTGTGTGTGTGTGTGTGTGTGTGTGTGTGTGTGTGGTAAAATGCAGAGGCCACGTTTAATGATGAGACTTTAATTCAGTGATTAAGGTCAGAGTGCTTTGAAGGTTTGAGTCAAGACTTAACAAGTATAAGTCGCGTTGCCACAAAATGAAATTACCGAAGTAAATCCACTCAAGAACTCTCTCAGAACAGTGCTGGATATCGGGACGAGAGGTGGAAGAGCCAGAGGAATTCTCCAGTAAATTTTTTTTTAAAAATCTGTTTTTTAGAACTGGGCTTGATTGTGTATGACATTGATCTCAGCCCATCTGAGGCAGAAACAGGCAGATTTCTGTGAGTTCACGTCCAGTCTGGTCTACATAGTGAGTTCCAGGACACCCAGCAGTATAGGTGAGACCCTGTCTACAGAGTGTGTGTGTGTGTGTGTGTGTGTGTGTGTGTTAATAGGAATGCCTGAAACAACAAAACTAGTGAAATTGAAACAATTATTCTGAAACTAACTGAAGACAGTTTTCCAGAGATGAACGATGAACTGGGCCTACAACTGTGGATAAAGCCAGAAGGGAACATTTAAATTTGGTGAAGAGAAAACAGCATCTAGATGTATTCTGTTTTTACAAGTGTCAAGGTCATAGGAGGAAAATGTAAAGTATCCAGACTGAGAAATCAATTTATGATCTTGGATTTTTTTTCTTGCAATTCTAAATGCCAGAAAACAATAGAATACAAATTATAGAGAAAAGCAGTTTTGATATAAGACATGCATAACCTGCCGAGCTTAGAGGCCATAGGTGTTTTGGAGCTGCACTAAATAGATTTCACATTATGATATAGACAGTAGTCTATGGGGACCTGTAAGAGGAATGTGTTGTTTGCATGAGGCTGTCCTCCATAGGCTTAGATGTGTGGATACCTGGTTCCCAGTTGGTGACACTGTCTGGTTAGGTATAGGAGCTATGGCATTTCTGAGTAAAGTATGTAATTGGGGGTGGACCTTTCGATTCCCAAGCCATGTGCCATTCCAGTTTTGTTGGGATTCTAGTGGTCATGTTTGTGACCATGGTCATGGAAGTTTTGTGTGTGTGGTTTTTTTTAATTATTTATTTCCAGCTTCTGCATCGAGACATAAGCCCTTAGATTCAACTCTTAACATCCATCTTCTACTGCTTCCATACCACCTCTGGATATTTTTAAAAATAATTTATTATTATTTTATGTGCTCTGGCATTTTGCCTGCACGCATGTTTATATGAGGGTGTCAGATCTTGGAGTAACAGTTGTGAGCTGCCGTGTGAGTGCTGGGAATTGAACCCTGGTGCTCTGGAAGAGCAGTCAGTGTTGTGAACCTATGAGCCATTTCTCCAGCCCATCTCTGGATATTTAAGCCAAATGAATTCTGATGTTGTACGTCAGCTTGATTGTAATATTTCATCTCAGCAGCAGAGCAGTAACAAATACCGCAGCTGGAAGAAATTCTCAGATCTTCAAGGACTAAGAAAACACGTCACTGAGGAACTTTCTCTGAAATGTTTGGCAAATGATGTAGTGTACCTAGTAGAGGATACCAACTCAATAACCAAAGTGGTAGAAAATTGCATGGAAAAAGTAATAGTATGGAAACTATTCACAGGGATGGAGCTTGGATCACTGCACATGGGATGATAAAGCTAAGCGCAGAAAGAGATTTGAAATTTTCACTGTGCATATCTCTAATCTCAAGAACAAGACATTCAATATATTGAATAAATAAATGTTTTCTATTCTTGCATGTGGTGATGTAGGTAGATGTATACATGGTTTTGAGGTAAATACATGTAAAATGCTTTGTTATCGTGGGCAGGACCATTCAAAATGGTCAGTATACAAAACTGGGAAACTAAAGATTTATTACCTGTATGTCCAGTTAGAGGGGAAATAGTCAATGTATTCAGAATGTTAGCACTTAGATGAAAACAAGAATTGGGAACAATTAAAGGATTTAACATTTTATATATATATATATACACATATACATATGAGACTTCACATGGTTGGTTTCCTCACCATTTCAGATCTCCATAGGCTTCCTGATTTGCTGTCTTTTTTGAGAAATACCAATCACAGAAAATCAGCATTGGCACAGCCTTAGAACTTCTTACATAAGCAGTATCCCAAACCAATAACATCATGGATTTAAAAAATAAAATCTTACTAAGCATCTACATGCTGTTTCCTTTAGTGCAGTGTCTTATGTGTTCTGAGTGCTCAGTGCATATTAGTCTGTTGTTAAACTTTACAGTTTGCTTAGGCAGTATCATACAGTTTTATTCTTATAATTCAAACTATATTGCCGCGGCATCATTTTAATCAACCAAATATCCATAAATAATGCTGCCAAGAACATGAGCCAATCAGTTAACTGATGATGTTCAAATAAGCAGACACATTGCCAATAGAGTACAAGTTGTCGTAAGACAGTGAGGTCTCCTAATATTCTCTGGTTATCGCTCCTAAAGATGATGCCACCTTTGTATTAGCATGCAATCAATTGGGAAGAGATTATGTTATGATGCAGGTATTGTCTGAATTAAACCTAAAATTGTTTCCTTTCAAGATCACATGTTGCTGATGCTGCCAATTAGTACCAAACTTGAAAATAAAACAATGGTAAAAATCTTTATATTCTGTATCAAGTAACCGTGAAAATGAGGCTTAGAATGTTAATTGGCTTAGCATCACATGATAAACAACAAAACAAAGTCTATTTCAGGGCTTGGTTTTTGCCTTCCATCCATATTTTAGCACTCACTAAAATAAGAAGACAAAGATAATAAAGAAACCCAAGACTTGGAAATTTTCAAGTGAGGAGTCAGAACCCATTAGTCGCAGACTTTAGAGCACAGTGAATATAGCAGAACCAGGAAGAAATAGGGCGGTAGTGGTGCGCCCATTAGTCCCAGCACTTAGGAGCCAGTAGTAGTAAACCTCTGAGTTCAAAGCCAGCCTGGTCTACACAGAAAGTTACAGGCCAGCCAGGGCTACACAGAGAAACCCTGTCTCAAAAAAACCAAAAGAGGAATTTCTGTTGAAAGTCAACACCAATGTGACATGAGGGCCGGCTTGTTGGGGTATCTGTTCCTGCTCAGTACCCTACAGCCGGCAAGTCCCAGAGAAAATCAATCACACAGAGATCTCTATAAGTTATAAACTGATTGGTCCATTAGGTCAGGCTACTTATTAGCTCTTATAACTTATGTTACCCCGTTATCCTTATCTATATTAGCCACATGGGCTCAGTACCTTTCTCAGTGTGACAGCTTACATGTTGCCTCTTCGGTGGTCTGTGCAGGAGTGGCCGAGGAACCTCCCTGCTTCCCAGAATTCTTCTGTTCTCATTGCATCACCTCTACTTCCTGTCTGGTTTGCCCGCCTATACTGCCTGCCTGGCCAATCAGCGTTTTATTAAAATATGATTGACAGAATACAGACAATTCTCCCGCATCACACCAACACTGCTTTTTTGTGGTAGTAATTACTTCTCTACAGTAAGTACAATAGTAAGGACGAGGCACTGACTAATATAATTTTATGCTGCACTTTTATTACCTGTGTAGAGTGTCGTGTGACAATCTAATTTCATTTCGCTGAAAATCATTCAACTGAGATTGTAAAAATAATGTTATTGTTATACTAAATTTTGGAAGCCTTAAGAGTCCTAATTGAGATACTTCATTCATAGTTTTTCACCCAGCCTGAAATTGGGTCATTAGTGGTGTTTATTTAGAGTAACATGGTAAACAGAGTAAAGAATGAAAGCTCTGGAGAAAGGGGGGAATGAAAAGAACTTCAATTTTATTAAATTTATTTTATTTTACAAAAACAAGCAAAAAATTTCCATATTTAACTTTAAAGACGATTTGCAAATTGCTGAACAGAAGAGTAAAGATTAATCCACTTTAAACTATTATTTTTATTTATAGTCACTTGTCTAGTTAATATAGTTCTTATTC